AACAACGCCGGTGTTATGACATACGGGCACTTAGAATGGGGTAAATTTTCACAATACACTAAAGTGTTTGATGTGAACGTGTTTGGTGTGGTTCGGGTGACCAGAAAATTCATACCACTTATACGAGAGTCAAAAGGTATGTAATCCATAGAATATTATGGTTTTTTACAGCAATATAAGTTTTATTTAGACTTTTTATCTTATATAAAATATAAATAGACATATAACTAAAACAAATCAATAAGATAAGTTATAATATACCTAGGTCGCTTAGTGTTCACAACCTCTCAGGCGGGTCGAGTGGCGTTAGACAATCTCGGCGTGTATTGTATGTCCAAATCGGCGATCATAGCGTTCACCGATGTTTTGCGGCGAGAGATGCGACCCTTTGGGGTCCGGGTGTCGAACATAGAGCCCATGCTATTTAAGACAGCAATGGTTGGTTTGGTTAAACATGAGTTCAACACGAATTGGTCCGAAACGGACGGTGCAATACGGGAGGTCTACGGCCAGGAGTACTCCGACCGTTAGATTAAAGTATTTGACTTTTTAATGTCTATGTCTATGGCTAATGGAAATGTGGATATTGTTGTCGACGATATGGTTGACGCGGTGGCCAGTCGTCGACCCAATAAGTACTATACACCTGTACATCGGTGGTGGCTCCACGGCTCTTACCGTATGGCCCGTATAACACCCCAATGCTTTATCGACCATGTTTTCTATACACTCAATTCAAAGAAACCTGCTTTTATGAAAAATAATAATAATATATAAAATAAGTTTGAGTAAGCACATTTTGTATAATGTTATAATACAAATAGTATTACATTTATTATTTTATTTACATTTTTATTTTAGTTAAGTAAAATTAAAAATATTATGGTGATTGGCCAATATTATAAGAGTATTAATAAATATAAACTAATTTTAATAAAAATAGATTTATAATTTACAAATTAATAAATAGTAAAATTATTCAAATGTCTGAACAAATTAAGCAACTATAAAATGTATTATATTTATATCAATATTGTTATAAATGCATAAGAATTTCGATTTATTAATATAATAAAATTTTATTAATTAAAAAATTGATAAAATTACATAATAACTTTGGAGCAGTTTACTTAATGTAGTAATTTTAAGTTCAAGATATAATACATAATTTATAAAATACAATTACAATTTAAAAAATAACATAATAGTGTTTTCTATTAACCAAAATTAACTTTCTATTTATTACAGAATTTTGAAAAAATTATTTCTTTAAATAAGGATATCATTTAAATTAATATTAAAAATTATTTCGTGGCTTAAAAATGTTTGGGA